AAAAAAATTGTCCCCTTCCCACCCGCGACGAAAATCCTGGGATTTCCACCGATACATTTAACTAGTATTTAACGTATTAAGCATTTGGACCTACTAATATACACCTGCGCACTTGTATTACTTGACTGCATCACTTCTCGGAACATCTAAATTTTTGCATGCAAACGCTTCAGAATTTTCTCACCAAACAAATAGTCAGAATACAGAAGAACATGCTCAAGCAAGCGTGCTAACAACAACCAACCTATGATCTCAACTGTAAAATTGCGGTCGACCTTTCCCAAATGATTGCTTACTTTACATGTCCATAAACCCTGCAAAAATCAACTTGGCAAAGCTGATGAGAAAATAAGCACACTCACTTGATCGGAAACTTCTACAGCTTTGATGTCAAGCGTCATATGCTTCTTATTCTCTCGAAATCGATGGCCAAAAGCATCTTTATTGAGAAGCTCACCATTGCGATACCATTTAACTTCCAGGGGAGATTTGGACATAGCTAGGCATGTCAGTTTCACCTAAATCTCAAAGATGAGGAGGACACAATATTGTTACAATAAATTTAAAACTGGATCTCATCACAATGCATTGGATGAATTCCGAAGGTACTGAATAAATTAGTCAGCTTGAAGAACTTTGCAGCTCATCACATTGCAGAGCTAGCTATCGGGTTGGAAGAAATTAATCTGGTTTGAGCACTTATAAAATTTGGGTTGTTGTTTTTCCTTGGTTTTTTTGGGTTGAATGAGTTTGAAGCTTCTATCCGATACTCAGTCATATTCATTATTAGTGAAGTTTAATCACGGCCCAACATGGCTTCTACAAAAGCTTGAATTTTTGAACCCTAAGCCTTGTTTTCATAATGGATATAGAGATGAGTATTTGGTATTTGAATACAGACAGATTTATCTATTTAGAGAATACCGATACAAATTGGTGATCTGCAGTTTTGAAATTTATCAAAACCCGTTTTCAGCAAAAATCAAAAAATCTCAGCTAAGAAATCCTTTACATCTCACAGTGAAAGAAATGGAAACTCCATTTTTTGATATTTTTTTATTGGAAAATGAATTCTATTCGAACAAAAATCTCAGTCGATAGATACCACATATTAAACAAAATTTTGCAACATTCAGGAGCCCCAAAATTGACCGAACCTATTTGGTAGCCAAGCTAATATTTTACACTACAAAACATTATTCCTCCTCCTTAATATCTAAGATCACCGTACAAGTTTGGATTGACCGAATCACTGAGTCACATCATCATCTCCGCCGTAAGGTAAGGCTGTACTTTCGAGAATTTTCTCGGAATTTTCCTTGCAAAGAAGTTTCGCTTGAGTGAGATTGCGCGACAGCATAGCAGCAACAGAGAACTGGCTGCGAACACAGTGATGTTGATATGATTGATGATGGACACCAGAAACGAGGGGAATGCGAATTCGCAACTGCATGCCCTTCCCTAGTCATGTGAAAAGTGAATAGACGTGTAACAAACCTTATCGCCGAGGAAGACTTCATGGTTAAGACGTTCAAACGTTTTGAAACGAGGAATACCATCTGAAAAATATGATTATCAAAGATTCA